TTAAGAAAATAAGTGAACAAATGTATGAGTTTGTATAAAAAGGAATATCTATTGCTATATTGATTTATGATAATAGAGATGAGAAATAGTTCAAATAACCATCCATGAAGGATTTTGTTCAATGCTATGATATATACATGCAATGGAATACTCTTCAGTCATTCAAAGTGATTTTGTATTTCTTGACATTGGAAAATGTCCATGATATTTTTGTTAAGTGAAAAATGAGATTAGAAAACATCATGCATAATATGATCTCTCTTTTTGCAAAAAAGTGTGTGTATATATATAGGTATATATATGTATAAAACATCTACCCATCTCCTTACCTCCTTGCCTACTAAGATCTGAAGGACATAAACAATGGTTCTCTCTGGGTGATAGAATTATGGATCATGTTTACTTTCTTCTTTTTGGCTGTTTGTATTATCTGATGTTGTAATAGTGTTTGTGTAATGCTTTTACAATTAGAAAAAAGCTTAAAAATTGTCTTTTTTAATGAGAAGAAAAATATTCAGAAGAAAAAAATAAAGAATTTCCAGCTAGACTCAATATTTCAGAAGCCTTGGGGCCACCTTGCTCAGCTAAGTGGAAAATAATGTTATTTCCACTCAGACTTGTAGGTAACCCCATTCTTAAAGTATAAGACAGAGAGGCAGCATATGATAGAATATTTTATATAAGAGGAATCATTATATTTGTAGTGTACATTTTCTTAGTATTAGGACTTGGGGTAAAATGGCATCCAGGAAAAGCTGTTGCTCAAAGTTGCTCTCTATACTCCTAATCTCAGCTACTTATATCTAAGCCCACAGCTTTGGGATGAAATATTGAAATCATAAATTTGCACCATTCCTTTTTCTTGTGTTATGCTTTTTGAGTTCAGTGGGAGTTCATTAAAAAAGGAAGTGTAACCAAAGAACAGGATCTGAATGAAAGTAGCTATTGAAAAGAAATGACCAAAATGCTTATATTTAAACCTGTCAAATGTGCTTAGATAATTTCATAAACATGGATATATAATTTTCATACATATCATACATATGGCTTGTTTCAAATTTAGTGTCGTGAAACCATTTTAGACACTTTGAGTCCCGGGTTAATTTTGCTGCTGTAGCTGCCTTATTATTAAAGGCATGCTTAGAAAGCTACAATTAAACCCTGCTATGGTTTCTCAGAAAATTACTACATTGAATACATTTCACCAATTCACATGTCTTCTGCTGAAAGGAAAACAGACTGAGAATTTTGATTAATCTGCGAGGAAAACTCATTCTGTATTTCATTTTTGTAGCATGATCACGTCTTTTGTTATTAGAAAAATTCATGTTCTTTAACCAAATCATAAAGTGACTCCACTGCTTCTGAGAAGTATCCCAGTGCTATAACTAGGAATTGATATTTCTTCTTTAATCAACTAAATATGTATTGGTATTTTTGAACATCTACTTGGTGGAAAATTATTGGTTTGAATGTGCAGGGTTCTCAAATGCAAATGGCTTCAGGACCAGGCTCATAGCATTAATCACGTGATCTGGGCTATCTATTATACATCAGGGAGTGATGGGGCCTTTGGTGAATGGGAACATAATGTTGGCCATAAAGTCATAGAGATTCTTTAAGACACTGTGTAGGCCAAACAAAATGCATCTTGGTCCTAATTCCTAACGCCTAGTCACCCAGGAAAAATGTTATAGTAGATTAAATTTCTCTCATAAATCATACAATTTTAGAGCACTTACTTAGGTAATCTTGTAGATCTTCTGGCATACACTGGTGCAGCAGCCCAAGCTTTCATGATCTATTTTGACTGGTTGGGGCATTAGCCAAACTGATTGGCTGGTCCCATTTCCTGAGCTCTAATAATGAAACTGGTTCAGAGGTTGAACATCTTAAAGGTCTCTCAGGTAGGGTAGTAAGGAATGGAACTGGGAATTCAAATCAAAATTTCATGTACTTTCTCCCTTTCTCTACTATTGGCAGGGTAGGGCTGTCCCTTAACTGTCCCTCTGGCACTGTGTCTTAGTCCAACCTAGAGGCAAGCTGTGGCTGACTCTATGTGTAAACCAGCTTGCTACAGGAGACCAAGAACTGTGAAGGTGAAGACCTGGGTTCTAGCCGTGGGTCTGACACTAGCTAATGAAGTGGCTAGAAGTCAGATAACTCAACTGTGGAAACATGAGCTGTCAGAGGCAGTCCTTGTGTCTGAATCCAGTTTACCAGGTTCCAAGCTCAAAGCTCTGGCTTTTGTATCAAAGTCCAGATTCTCTTCTTTTAAACAGGGTGTCATGGTTTCAATCCCTTTCCCAACAGATTCTTTTTTTTTTTTTTTTTTTTTTGAGATGGAGTTTTGCTCTTGTTGCCCAGGCTGGAGTGCAGTGGTGCAATCTCAGCTGACTGCAACCTCCACCTCCTGGGTTCAAGCGATTCTCCGGCCTCAGCCTCCTGAGTAACTGGGATTACAGGCATGTGCCACCAAGCCTGGCTAATTTTGTATTTTTAGTAGAGATGGGGTTTCTCCATGTTGGTCAGGCTGGTCTTGAACTCCGACCTCAGGTGATCCGCCCGCCTTGGCCTCCCAAAGTGCTGGGATTACAGACATGAGCCACTGCGCCCGGCCACAACAGATCAATTTAACCTTTCAATATAGAGTGCCTTAAGAGGACTGACTAGACGACTCTTTTTTCCGACCATTCTCTTTTCTTTTTATAGGTTGTATGCAAGCCAGTATGTGCCTAACTATGCTTTGCTGTGCTTGTGGTGGCGTGGGGCTGTGAATGCCACAGTTGCCTCAACTCTTCATGCAATTCCGCATGCCAAGAATTGTAATAAACTGTCCTTCATTATGCAGCTTGGAAAAACAGGCACTCTTTTGTTTTAGCATTTGCTATTTGTATTATGTGGTTAAGCATTGTATGTTACATTTGCAAAAATGTATAGCTCGTAGTCATTGAAGGGAGTTGTGTGTAGCTTTTTCCCTTCCTAATAAATCGTTTTTGTGAGAACCAGCTGGTGTTTGAAGAGCTAAGTTCCAGGAAGAAAAAGAAATGACAGCTATAGAGCGTGGGCAAAGTTCTAAAAATATGGAAGCCCAATCTGGCCAAGAGATGTTGGCCTGTGCACAGAAAGTGCAGTGACAATATCAGCAGAGCCAGAAAAACTGTCCCTTTTCTGCCTGGAAAAGGGTTCATGTGAGATGTTAGGAAGACAGTTTAAGGAGAAAAAAGTCCTAAGTAAATAGAATTTCAGCCAATACTTTAATGAACTTCACCCTTCTTTGGAATGTTTTCACTCTCTGAGGGGAAAACAGAGATTGAGTCATTTATACAGCGAGTGAGAACTTTACTCAAAATGAGTACTCAGGAGATGTTTCCCCTGTGGTGCTTTCTGAAGTCGCAATTTATGAGCTCTGCAACATTGTCGGAGAAATGTTCATTTCCAAGGAACTTGTCTCCCTTGCTTTCTTTATTATTTGGCACTGTAAATTTTCATGACTGTGAGGAGGATTCCCTGACATAGTTATCTGATGGGAAAGTCTGATCCTCTCACTTAAAACAATGATTTTTCATGTCTGTTCTACCTCCCTCTCCCCTTTGTAACTCCCTAAATTTCACACGTAGCACTCTGACTTTATAAATCTTTTTCTTTGATTCTGCAAACTGATTGTTAAATGTATGATATCATTCTTGGAACCATGTGACCTCTGGATTCCTAAACGCAGATGTGATTTTGGTCCTGGACAGCAGAAGGAGATATTGAGCTTGAAGTTAATGTATCTTTTTGTTTTGTTTTTGTTTTTAAACTTAGTATGTAAACAACTGGTGTTACATTTTCAAATAATTGGACAGCCGAGGGCTAAAATAGTTATTTTGGTAAGTGGGCATTCTCTTCTTTCAGAGAAGACTCAGCATAAAACGATTTTAATAAATATTTTCTACACAGGATGAGTAATTTCATTACACCAAAAGACACAGTATTCACTTTCTGGTCTTCTGTCACTCCCCATGTTCTCCTGAGTGCTCATTTTGTAAATGCTGGTTATGACCCATGCTGGATAGTTCTCTGGTTGTGGTTGAAACTTCTGTAGGTATGTCAGCTTGCCCTACGTTACTTCAAAGCCTGCACTCAAGTGCTCTTGAAGAGGAAATTCCCTTCCTTTAAAGGCATCATCTTTCCATTTTGGAGAGAACAGTAGAATGCCACTTCTAAGGGTGCTCTGTCACCCTACAATCTTCCTCTTAGATGGCAGAGATGCATGGGATGTGGGCAGGATTGTTTTATAGCTACTGCTAATTAGATCTGGAGCATTTGGAGGGCGTTTCCATTTGGAACAAGCCTCTATAATTTGGTGTCTAGTTTTTATCCTAGAAGATTTATTATATTTTTTAAGCTAATGAGTACATTTTTTGCTTAAAATTGTCTATTCTATTATAATGGCTATGCCCATTCAGTAAGTACCATCATTTTTTTTCTTGTTAAAATTTTTAAAAAATATATTTCTCAGAGGACCGCTATTTTAAGCTGGATCGTATTACATTGTACCTCGAATTGATGAATTTATTTTATAGATAGATGCCCTGGAATTCCTAGAAGATTTCATCAATTGTCTTTAGTCTTGTGCTTTCCGTTATTTAACAGTATTGCATGTCAGACAGTGGTTCTTAAGCCCTTGAAGCTCAGACAATCTTAAGTACCAAATCTATCAAGATCCCCTAGTTCAAACGCAGCTCAAGATGGTGATTTAGCTTTTAGGTAATTTGAAACGTTTAAGATGATTGTGTTTTCACTATGTTTACTCTCCTACATACTGGAATTTGGAAATTTGCTATGGTATTCCCATCACAAAGAATTATCCAGCTTGCTTACTGAAACTGGGTCTTATGCCATATTCTGTCTGAATAGTGGTGAAATAAATTTACCTCTAGGCGAGTTTCTTGTTAGAGTTAGTAGGTATGCTCTGTATGCTTTGTTATGTTTCACTTTTCACTCTCTCCTTTAAGGAAAGCAAAAGAAAATTTGTCTGGACAAAACAGAAATGTTTCCAATGGCCATGTAGTTTGTGAAAAAAAGCAGCAGCTGGAGTTGGATTCTATTGTAGAAGAAACCGTAACAGGAGATTATGCCTTAATCATAAATGGCCACAGTTTGGTGAGTTTGCCTAAGGTTTTTGTCCTTTCTTTTTCTTCACCGCAGTAATCATCTCTTTTGTGCTATCGTAATGAGACCTCCTTTGTCTTTTCCAGACAAATGTCACTACTGAATACAGGGCATACGCGATGATTTCCTGTTTGCAAAAGGAAAGGAAACTTCTAATCTATATCTCATACATTATTGTTTGGATCACCACAGTGAAGGGGAGGCTCCAAATAAATGCTAAATTCACAGAATATCAATCTTGTCTAAATGACTGTAGACCACTTAGCAGTATCATTTAAGTGCCTTTCTAGAGGGGAGTGTTACAGCTCACTGTTACTTAATTAAAATAATGCAAGTGGGTGGATGTATTATAATTATTGCTCTTACTAATGTTTGTGACTTGTGGAGCACAACCTGACCTTCATGTAATTACTATACCAAATTATTGCCATTAAGATACCTCTAGTGGTTTTTCTAAATAGCAGCATTTTACAGCAATGCCAAACAATTTGCTTTGATTAGGAAATCTGGTTCTTGTCCTAATAGAATGAACTTGCATTGTACTTTTAATGTAGTTCAGATTCTAAATCTTGAACAAACATGAAAATACTCTTCTGAGTTTCTAATTTAAAATACAAAAGCTCCAATTACACACCAGTGAAATTATAATTTATATGCACAAAGAATTAATCTCACATCTTTCTCTGGCTTTGATGATCATTTTTCACTTTGGAGTTTGGAAAATAAATATATCTTCTTGTAGACAGTTTCTTAGAGGACAAAAGAAGTTGGATATGAGGATATTGTGTTTTCTCCCTTGCGATCAGCTGTCTGTTGTTAGCTCTTAGTGCTTAGAGCATTATCCAGCTGGATTCCAGACATAATGATGTGTTGCCTTCTACACCATGGAAAGTTACAGAGCTCAGCTGCAGGCCAAACTCAGTTAAAAGTTTGTCCAAATGACACAAAATTCTCTTTTGCACAGAATAACAGTAACTGAAAATTATGACTGTCATCTGGGTCTTAAAGCTGGTGGCCTCCAAGCTGAATTGCCCAGAGACCACAATATAGAAAGGGGACCTTATGAGTTATACTTTGACTTTCTCTCAGGCTCAAAGGATCCAATGTGTGGTGGCATTAGAGTACTCAGGTGATAATTTATACCATTTTCTCTGTCTGTCTCTAAGTACATTGAAAGAAGGAGGTAAGATAGATGCTCTTCAAGAACCCTGTCAGCTTCAAAGCCTGAAACTCATGGAACCATGAAATGTCATTTTTAATTTAAGGAGACTTGACTATGTTTTTGCTAGTATGGTCAGAATTTTTTTTTTTTTTTCCTAAATCATGATTCTAATTTGCTTAAATCCTGATGTTTTGCAGAATGTAATTGGGCCTTTGTTTTTGCTCAGAGTCTTAGCATAGTTTTTCACTTGCTGATAATAAAAAGAGAGAGAGAGAAAGAGAGAGAGAGAGAGAGGGGGGAGAGAAAGAGACCATTCTAGGCAAGACAGGCAGTTATCTGTTTTCTCTTTCAGAAAGAGTGATAATATTTGAAAATGCCAACTCACAATTTCACCTAGGGATTATAGGTTTGAACATGAGAATTTTCTGTGCTGAGTTATGTTTTTATATTCATTTACCGATCCAGCCATTCATCCATTGGCATTTTTATTAAGCCTGCCCGGGCCACAGTGCTGAAGTCTGAGGATAAGATTGTGAATAGAACATGGTTCTTGTTTTAGGGAATGCTGTCTAGTGAATGAGATAATCACATAGTGGTATGACAAATACTGTAAAAGAGGAATGAACACAATGCTTTGAGAGCACAGAGGGAGACAAATTTACTTCCTTGTGGGAGAATCAGGGAAGACTTCCTGGAGAGAGTGATATTTTCAAGGAGAGGTAATGGCAAGTACAAAGGCACAGAGGCAAGAAAGAGCCCATTCAATCATGAAGAACAAGCAATTTGGCATGATGGGAAAAAAGTGTAGACTTAAAGGTGATGCTAGAAGATAAAACTCAAAAGGAACGCAGGGGCCAGATTGTGATGGGCTGTGAATGTCTTGCTAAAGATTCACGCAAAGATACTGATGACTCAAAGTGTAAGTGGATTTCTGTTTCTTCTTAATGTGTTTATTAAAGAATTTACAGTAAAACATTTTCTAGGAAAAATATTGCACAGTTAATTGGAAGGGATTGTGCTATCTTTTTAAGTAATTTCTTGGCATATCTAAAGGCTCTTATGCATTTGGATAGGAGCAAGAGTAGAAACGGTTGAGGAACCCTGTCTGTGACACAGCTTGCATGCCCCTCTTTTGCACAGGCCTCTCTGGGTTTCAGTCATTATGTTCTTCAAGGGACAATCCCCAGATCATCTGCTTTTCATCCTGCCTGCACATTAATAATCACAACAACAAACTAAATATACAAAACAACAATGCAAAGAAACAAAAAGCCCATCACATAGAATAAACAAATCATCATCATTTGTAGTTCATTCTAAACTTGGTGAGCTGGTAGATAGGTTCTGTCTTTTGTTTTCAGCAATTTTAATGGTTTCTAGAACTTCTCCAGCATTTAACTCTCTCTCTCCAGTGCAGCACTATATCAAGGAAGACATATAAATGGCAGTTTCTTTTATTTTTATTTTGAAATTCATTAGTAGTATTTTTAAATTCGCTTGGTAGGAGTTCAACACTTATTTCTTTAGTTTTTGTTGCTTGTGTGATTCTGAATCAACAATGACTTTTTGAAGTGAATGAAACAGTTTAGCAAACAAATCAGTTGAGAAACAAGACATTTATTGTTTCCTGTTCTTTTTTGAATTTTATTTTTAATCACACAGGCTCATGCCCTAGAAAGTGATGTCAAGAGTGATCTCCTAGAACTTGCTTGCATGTGTAAGACTGTAGTTTGCTGCAGGGTCACTCCACTCCAGAAAGCCCAAGTGGTAGAGCTGGTGAAGAAGTACAGAAATGCTGTTACTTTGGCCATTGGTGATGGAGCCAATGATGTCAGCATGATTAAAAGTAAGAGGATATTTGCTCAATGGGGTATGCTGCATACATGGGGTCCTCAGTTTCAGCGTTTGGCAATATATAATCACTAGATTGCGTTAAAATTTAATTTTGCCAGTGATTCTAAAATGAATGATACCTCTGGGTCCAATGCTACCACCATTATTAGCATTCATAACAAAATTTCTTTGTCTTTAAATAAACCATTTGTGTATTTTTAGGCTAGAAAAGGATGTCATTCACCTTATACTATTTGAGGAAGTAAGTAGGTACAGTGTAGAGGAAAGAACACCAGGCCCACATTTGTAATATGTGACTTTAACCCCATCTTTGCCACTTAAAATTCTAAAAACTTCTGTAAGTCACTGAACTTTTCTGAGCCTGGCTTCCTCTTTTGTAAAACTAAGATAAATACCTATCATAAGCGTTTCATGAGATAATATATGTGAAAATTCGTAATTGCAATGGCTACAAGTTTTCCATAAATAAAAGAGGAATGACAAGTTTCCGAAAGAGATCGTGGCTTTGTTTTGGGAATGACAGCGTTCCTCTTTCCTTTGTAGGTGCTCACATTGGTGTTGGCATCAGCGGCCAGGAAGGATTGCAAGCAGTCTTAGCCAGCGACTATTCATTTGCACAGTTTAGATATCTTCAAAGGCTTCTCCTTGTTCATGGAAGGTGGTCTTATTTCCGAATGTGCAAATTCTTATGCTATTTCTTCTATAAGAATTTTGCATTTACACTTGTGCATTTCTGGTTTGGTTTCTTCTGTGGTTTCTCAGCCCAGGTTGGTAAAAAGCATTTTTTTTTTTCATATGATATTACAAATGACTCTTCTTCATAGCTCTTTACTAATAATAATAAATTGAGAGTTTTTAATGACTGATTCAAGTGACAGTATTATAATTATGTAATTGATAGTTGACTTGAGCTTTGCACCCAAGAAGAATATGTATCTAGCTGGAATTTTATTTATTTATTTTCTTATTTAGATAGTCAACCAGTGAGTACTCCTTCCGTGCATACTTTAGTGTTTGTTGAAATGTTTTTGGTATGATGACAGGTAAGCTTGTAGAGTTTTAATTTAGAACAGAAGTCTGCGAATCACTAATAAGAAATTTTGAGGTATCTTTACTGGGAAGATGGTTTCTTATCTAACCCACTAAATGTATCTGGGCTGAGGGTAAATGTGTTTTATATTAGGGAGAAGTAATTGGTAGTCTGACACCAAAGCTGTTTAGACAGCAATTCATCAGCTAAAAGTTGATCTATAGATAATACTAGTAGGAAGAAAGAAAAATTAGCAAATTTATAAATTAGGATTCTGTTTTTATCACTTCTTATACATTTTAAAGGATAGTTATTTAGCCACACATCTTCAATATCAGAAAAGTTTTGACCCAGTGAATCAACTGTAAAATGTAATATCTGTATCATCTAAATATACTTGTAAATTTTAAAAAAGTTTTACCAAAAACTTAAATGTAGATATGGCATTGACATTTTGAACAACACAAGAAAAAGATTGTCCTTGAGAATGAAATGGTAACCATAACTCTCAGAGATTTATCCAGTTGTTCTTCCCTTCTTTGTGTTTTATCAATGACACTGGATTCAACGATATGCATGAAGGTGATTTTTTAAAAAATCATTTTATTCCCAAAAGACTGAATATAAATGAAATCTTGGCATCTTCTGTTCTCTTACATGTACTGAGGGAGATTAGTGAATTCCTTTTTACAATGAAAATACGTTTTCAATATTTTTCCCTTTTTCTGGGAAGTTGAGATTTCTTAAAGTGAGGCACATCTGTTCCCATTCCTAATTTTCTGTTTTTAGGATAACATGCCCCAAACTAAGAGTAGATTATGTTGATATTTTTGCCTTTTTTTTTTTGTTAATCTCTTGACAGTTGAAGTAAAGCAGAGTCTTGATTTTAGCTACTCAGAATTAGAACTTATCTTAGTGCTACTTCAGAGTAGGCATGGGGCTGGAGATATTTACATGCTCATAATTCCTCCTTTGTCCAACAAAGACAAGCATGGGAATGTGGCCTGTGGCTTCCTAGTCTGTTGATTTTCCTTCCACATGAGAACAAAGCAAGACCATCTGCTAACGGGTGTTTCTAAGAGATCTAGTTTTCATATTCCAAAGGCTTAAGGCTGAAGAATCTCAAGACTATGAAGGGACAAACCCCATTTAAACCTCTTAGAACACAGAAGAGTAGTCAATGATTTGTATGTGCAGACGCACTAAGCTTGAATAGGCAACTGTTCCTCTAAGTTGTCTGTTAAAACTGTGAAGTCGAAACTAATGTTCAGTGACTTCTAACTTCTACATTTAGGTTATTTTCTGGGTTCTGATAAAATTGGTCAGAGCCAGATGTTAAGCAACTAGAATTTTTATTCTTTCATCGGTATTTGCATTTTAAAAGAGCAAGGGAGAATAATAATTGCCCCAAAGACATGAGCAGCTTGATGGTTGAACCCAGCCGTAAGGCACACCACCTGTCTGTGATTAGGTTTCTGAAATGTTTGATTTAACAAACATGTTTCTTTTCTGTGTCCCTTTCTTTCCCTTTTGTTGTTTTACACTGAAAGCTCTAGTTAATTGCACAATCTTCATTTTGAATCCATTGTTAGTCCCCGTTGACCATCTGTGTTCTTTCCTAAGCCGGTGAATTGGGCTGGACCAGTGGTTCTCAAGCTTTAGCGTGCATGGGAACCACATGGAGGGCTGGTTAAAGCACTGCCCACTGGGCTCTAGACCCTAGAACTGTACTTTGAGAACCACTGGGCTAGAAAACCTAGAAGAATATCCCAAGTTCTGCTTCCTTGAACACAGACCAGAGTAAAGTCCAATCTGCTGACTTTTTGTTTTGTCAACAACATTAGACCCTATTCACCTTTTCAAAAGCAGAGGGGCCAGTTAAGCAAACAGCTGATCTCCCTCCCCCAGTTGAATTTTTCCAGAGGATTTAAAATCCTTTCAGCCCTCCTGCCAGGTCACTGTTGCTGAAGCATATTTTACCTGCAGTAAGACAGGGCAAGGTGGACAAAAGATGTCTGTTCAGGGTACAGGATTTCTTTCCCCAGTTTAGCCAGTCTATTATGAACTCACCTAGCTTAACCATTAGCTCCTTGAGGAAAAGAAGTACATCTAACTCATCAATACATCTATAATAAAATCTTGAATGTTACCTGCCATATAGAAGGCCTTCTAGTCATTTCATGTTGTTGGGTGTTTCTATAGCCCTTTCCCATGCTTGAGGCAGTTGCAGCAAAGAGAGCCATTCCGACATGCCTACAGTCACTCACACAGTTGCCACTTACTCTACCCACTCCGGGGGCCATCCCTGCAGGCTCTGGATCTGGTCTGTGTAAACGTGTGCAGCCTGACCATCAATGTGGCAAAGGGGCTCAGGGTCTTAAGATCTAAATGTGGTTATGGAACTGATTTCAGAATGTAGAATGCTGTTTTTCTCGGTTGTGTTAATATTAATATGATACAATAGTTAATTGAGCTACGGATGATACATTTCTTAGTTATTTATACATCCTTTCATTCTAGGAAAGACATAGAGTGGATTTTCCAGGTGTTTTGGCTGGTTCTTGGCTGATTTAAATAGGGCAGGATATATTTTTTTAGGCAGAGGAGGAATCACCGTAGAAAAATAATTCGGCCTCTGAATAGGAGTCCTGGACTGCTATCTACTTTGCTGTAATTTGTATGATGACCTTATCAAATGGAGACCTAAGCTTATACTGGAAAGGATACTTTGGTCCCACTATTTAAGGATTTCACTCATTTAATAAATATTCACTAAGCCTTTGCTATGTGTCAGGCCGTGGTGGCTCCCGGACCTTATGTGCTGGGTATGTTAAAAAGTGTGCTCTTGATGGGCATGGCGAAGTGTGATCTCACAAATTTTAGTAGCTATTCATGTTGTGGAAGGCTTAAGGTTTAATTTCCATACTTGTCAGAGAAATAGATGGGCTTTCTAGGAGAGTGACAAGTAGCAATTACTTATCACCTGTTGGAGAGGACAGCCAGTCAGTGACAGTACCCATGTAGTGGCATCAATGTTGTGGGGTCAGCTTCTTTGTAGAATCATGATATTGTTGACACTAACAAGTAGGCATACAAACAAGTCATAATTATAGCTAACATTTAAATAGTACTTACTATGCTTCAGGCATTGTCTAAATGTTTTACCTGTATTAGCTCAATAGTTACAATAACCATATGAAGTAGGTTTTACAATCATGGTCTATATTAGCTTAATTATGGTAGAAAACACATAACATAAAATTTACCAACTTAACGATTTTTAAGTGTAGAGTTCGGTAGTGCTAAGTAGGTACACATTGTTGTGCAACAGATCTCTAAAATTTTTTCATTCTGCAAAGCTGAAACTTTATGTCCACTGAATAACAATTCTCCATTTCTCCTAGTACCTGGCAACCACCATTCGACTTTCTTTTTCTATGAGTTTTACTACTTTAATTACCTCATATAAATGGAATCATATAGCATTTGTCTTTTTGTGACATGCTTTTGTCATTAGCATTTAGCATAATGTCCTCAAGATTCATCCATGTTGTAGCATGTGGCAGTATTTTTCTTCTTTTTAAGGCTGAATTGCGTTACATTGCATGTATATACTACATTTTGTTTATCCATGTATGCATCTATGGACATTTGGGTTGTTTTCACATCTTAGTCTGTATCAGTTCTTTGTTCAATATTTTCTAAATAATATTTGGGAGTTCTACTGTCCAGTAAATTCTATTTCTTCCCACTCTCACCTCCCCATCTTCTCTCTTCAGGCTTAAAAATTTACAATTCACATTAGTCTGTGAATTGTAGGCTCTGATAAGTCTGAATGTAAAGAAACACTACTATATTTGACTTCAGGATGCATATATATATGTATTCTCACATCTGACATCTCTAAAACTTGGCTATGTCTTTACAGTCAAAAGTATATTACAATATCCTTTGATCTGGATTGAAGTCAGGTTTTCCAGAGAGCATTTGTGTGACTTCTTCCAGTTCCCTGTGGGCACTGCTGCCAGCCTGAGATCTTTCTCTTTCCATATATTTTTTGAATTCAGATTGCAGATTCTAGTGATTAGCAGCTTGAGGTCCATGTTTTCAAGAGAGATTCTGTCTCTCCCTTTAGTTAGTGCAAAGCTGACACAGGCTAGTTTCCTTGCAGTCCCTTTCTGCATGAAGATTTCTCTTTTACACTGAGGTTGTAGCTCTTTGTTGCCCTACCTTTATGGAAATGTCAGATTCCCCATTTGGTTGAATTTTGGCATTGATAATGGTATTTCTAACAATCAATCGTGCTTTAGAGTCAGTGAGATTTGGTATTATTACCCAAACTCATTTGGCATGGAATGCTGCTTTTTCTTTTGTGTGTGTGTGTTTTTGTTTTTGTTTTTGAGACAGAGTCTCACTCTGTCGCCCAGGCTGGAGTGCAGTGGTGTGATCTCGGCTCACTGCAAGCTCTGCCTCCCGGGTTCAAGCCATTCTCCTGCCTCAGCCTCCAGACTAGCTGGGACTACAGGCACCCACCACCATGCCTGGCTAATTTTTTTTTTTTTTTTTTAAGTAGAGACGAGGTTTCACTGTGTTAGCCAGGATGGTCTCGATCTCATGACTTTGTAATCTGCCCGTCTTGGCCTCCCGAAGTGCTGTGATTACAAGCGTGAGCCACCGTGCCTGGCTGGAATGCTGCTTTTTATAAGCAACACATATAATGTCCTGTAGAACAGGTGC